TGTTTTCTAGACACTCTATTTCTTTTCTAAAAAATAATACTTTACTATCTTTCATATTATTTGACAAACCTCTCTGTTTACTTAACAGTTCATACATATATATGATAAAATAAAAAAAAACTTTGTAAAAGCAATCAAAAGAATTCCCAAAATGATCCTTTAAAAAAAAGTCAAATTATTTGGAAAATAAAACCTTGGCAACCAAATCACTGTTGTGGTAATGGTATTAATAATAATTTCATTTAAAATACCATGGATATACATATATACATATATGAATATATCATCATATTCCAAAATAATTCAACTTGGTAACACAGGAAAAAGAACAATGGAGGAATTAGATATCATTAGGGTGATGGAAAAGAAAATGAAAATCATTCTACTTTACTATTTATTAGAAGAATAGAAAAAAAAGAAGGAAGTTACAATAAAAAGTTAGATGCTTCCTATCTAATTCATTCACTTTAATTATTGTGTAACATGAATATTGAACTTAATACATTGTTGAAATAATTTCTATTCATCTTTGTATATTCCAAAGTTTTTTATTGATTGCTACCATATTTCAGTTCAATTAGCTTCTTTTTTTACCATTCCATATGATCGCATTTGCTGTGAAATTTGAGCTAACTTTTAATTTTTTTTAAACGTAAAGTCATTCAACTATTCATTCATTAAACTAGTAAGTTGCTATACAAATAGCTTAAATGAATCAAGAAGAATATCTTATTTTTCTAATGATTGAGTTATTATTATTATTTCCTTAGTTGTCATCTTTACAATAAAGTAAAAATTAAAAGCTATTTTATGAAAATCATTATAAATGTTGTTTTTATTACGAAATAACATCTATGAGATCGTTTTTCGTAAACTAGGGAGTATTGAACAGCTGTCTTGTTCTAGTATGGGACTCATTCAGAATTACACACTTAAAATTCTATTGAGAATTGGACCGAAGAATAATCTAGGTACTAAATTGAATCTAACAATCTTCGTTACTAAATTTAAATATTTCGAGATATATTGCCATTATTAGCTATACGATCAATGAAACTTGTCTCATTTCTGACCCGGATGAAATTTATTATATCTATCAATACTGGGCTCATTTATTCACTACAAACTATATGACTAAATTATTAATCACTTATTGGTGTTACCATAATTCAAAATGAATAATTAGAAACTTCAATAGGATGCAGTTACCTGATAGATCAATCAGCTATGGGATTAGTATGTTTACTGATGATGGTCTTATTTCAACGATTGATTGAACTTGGGAAATACATGTCGTTCAGCTCTAACTTAGTTATTCATTCATAATTTGCTATTTGACAGAAATGATAAAATTTCGGTCATTGCTTATTTATAGCTATGCGTAAAATCACAGAATGAAACTAAATTACAATCTAATATCCTCCGATTTTGTACACTTTCCATTAAGTAACATTACTGAGGCATTTTGTTCAAAATTAATAGTTCGTTTTCAGAACCTTTTTATTGAACAATAAAACTAGCACAAATCGTTAGCTTCATTTACACCGACTATTTGGTTTATCCATATTTACCAAACTGAAATAACATATTAACGACAACCTTTTTTGTATGTCAATTTATGGTTATGGATAGGACATCAAAATCTCTACAAACTGTGTGATTTAACATGAGATAATGGTTCTTAAGTTCAAGTAACCAAATATTATAAAAACATAAGATATGGATAAAAGTACTTAAGTCCTAAATCAATGAAAAACATTAAAAGAAATAATGAGAGCTACATAAAAGTAAATTTATTATTAACAATGAACTCGATTAGTTAATTTATATTCATTAATGATCTAGACTTTGTCATATATACTTCCTTTATTCGTCAATTACTGAATTTAGCTTAAATAAAATTTCTCAACAATCAATGAATTTCATAGGTACTGTATACACATCAATATTACACATTGAAGTAGAATAAGATTTAGGTTATATTTTAGAAAACTATGTTTTAAATAAAATGTGGTGATTTTCAGTGTTTAATAATTTATGACTTAAGACTGAATATTTCTTATATTTCTATCTTCATTTTATAGTTTAATAACGTTTATGTTTATTTCTAATAAATCTATACACAATAATGATCAATTGGCAATTCATAATATACAAAGATGAATAGTGGCTAACATTGGAATCCAGGACGCGCGTTTCATCCTACTTTGGACTCATCAACTGGATGTACCTGCATCTCAGAATTGATGTTCACTCAGTACCGTTCGCTTCAAACGCTATCGCGTTATCCACTTAGCTACTGAGTCCTGTAGCCACTTGCTTGTGCAACGGGGTGAAGTTTAAATTCACTTGGTATTGATTGTTTGGAACTTCCCATTGACGTTTAGGACTGCAATTGAGCAATCTCTTATTGGCATATGTGCACACTGTGCATGTCCTGCGTTCCACTGCTAGCCACTCTCCATCTTTGCTTATAAAGCCCATAACTTAGAGCGGTATCGAGGCAATACGCATAGGATGCACATATGTCAGTAAGAGACTGATCAGCTGAAGTCCCAAACAACAATGGGATGATTAAAAACAAACAACACCAAGTGAATTCATAATAATTTATTCATCAGAACTTTGATTGTAAAAATAAAACCTTGGGATATTCACTTATAAATCTTGATTATATTAATCAATGAACCTTTTAAACATAAACTTGTATTATCTTATGATGATAATACATAATATGAGTTTCGAAGATATAGAAACCTCCTTCGAAAAATGAAAAACGTAGAAGTTTAATCATTTAATAACTGTCAGTTCTAGATTTTATTACTCACAAATAAAAAAGGATGTGAAATTTTGCATTATAAATGTTCAGTAGAGCATAAAACAAGACTTAATAATGACGCCATAGAATGTTCAAAACGTCCATTTTCAAACAAAAATCAGTAAGTAAAACGGAGGTATAGAGTTCCAACACTGTATAGAGATGATCTTACATCATCATTGATGAGAGGCGTTTCCAAAAAACCTGAAATAGCCTCTAATTATGTATCAAACAAGTACAATAGAAACACTCTTCTTATTAGTTGAATATTTATTTTCCTAGCTGGAATATGAGCAGGATGGATATTCTACAATCTGTCGTTTTGGGATTATCATATAAACTTGTAGAATAATGGTCAGATTGGAAGTTAATAACCAGCATCTATTAGTTTACAGATTTCTAACTAAAAAAATATGCATAACAAAGTTCGCCAAGCTGCAGTTCTAGGTCTGTTCACGTTTCTTCTATGCGTAACTGATCTTCCAAGTCTGTCATGGTCAATTTCAGACTTACCATAACGTTACTTAAATAAGGAGATTAACATATGGTCTAAAAAATTTGATATATTAATTAATCGTCAGACATTTAGTAAATGGCAAATAATTATGTACATTTTCAGGACGCAATGAGTAATGGGTGTAGTGTTCATCTTCCCATATACATTCAGATTTATGACACTTTAAATAAAATTTTATTTCCCTAAAACTTGTTATTTTATACAAACGTCTAATTGATATATAAAAAGGAGAGTTAGAGGTTTAAAATACAAGTAAACGAAGTATCAAAGTTTATTTCTAGAATTCTTAAGCTACAACTTAATAGCTTCCTAACAAAATGTAATCACATACTAACCTAAGAAAGCCCACTAGTTAGTTTACAACCCCAGAACTGACTACGTACCACATAATTACTAACTTTTGTACCAAGTCTTCAACAAGTAGGACTCTGTATTTTAACGCGAGGTAACAACATGAATCAATTGAAAAATCCCGCCACTAGGAAAACATTTTAACGTCCTATTATAACGAAAGAAAGAAAACACCTTAAACTGAAATAAATAACAACCTTTAATGGGATCCTGTGTATAGAGTTTAATTCGCTATTTTTAAACTAAGTTATTTATATTTCTGGGAAGGAAGAACTATACATGAAATTTAATATCTCACTACTTAGTGAATGCAGAAATTTAGAAGTAGAAATGCAAATCAAGTCATATAAAGACAATTTTTCTGTGTATTTGCTAAAAGTGACCGATAACGATTAACAGTATAGGAAATCAAAGGAGAAATTAGTACAAACTATATGTCTAGTATTATTTTTAGACTTTTCAAACTATACAAATCAAGGGGTGTAGAATTTTCAAACATTGTTTCTTTGTACCTAATATTATATCAAAGTACAAAATGATTTAGTGAATCGTATCGAATTAGAAGTCGTGCTGTCACAAAAACAGGTTCTAATACTTATTAAATTCTAAAATGTAGATAACAATCCCTATCATACTGAACATTGTTACTTCTTATTTGACTTACTGATGTATGATTTTATACGCTTTCTAATTGGTTCGCTATACGACCTTGGCTGTATCTACCCCCTACATAAATCAACGAATAAAAACTGTAGATTTCCCATTTATCCTGCGGCCATTAGTATCCTATAATTTTCTTTCCACTATGATATGTTAAATTAGTGGTGGAGTATGGAGACAGTTTTATTTTTATCATACCATTTTTACTTCCCCCTTTTCCAACCTAAAGCTTTAGATTAAAAATTTCCCTCAGTTAAATCAGACTCACAACAAGCCTGAGGGCAGAGAAACAACAAATACAAGTAGTGTAGTCTAAAGTATTAAATGAGTTGAGAAAATTCCCACCCCCTATGGGCATTATTATCTGCCTCGGAATTGTTCTTTCATAAGAACCTATCAAATGTTTATAATTTTAAGCAAAAGTATTTGTATTTACGTAAAAACTTGTTGTTAGCTTTATTGATTTAAATATAAACTTATTATATACAGGCTGTTTAACTGCCTTCGGCCATTCTTTGAGATCTACGAGGAATAGCCTGGTACTAACAACTGACTAGAAGAAGCTTCCATAATTTACATTGCCTCTGGGGTTCAGGATCTAAAATAGCTGCAAGCAATACCTACCGAGATTTTACTTTACAAACTGATTAATACATGTCTTCAATTATACAGGTAAATTACATTGGTTATTTAACAAACATAAGTAGTTGTATCTGTATTCAAAAGCGTAAAAATCACTTTATTCAGTGTTCTAACTAATAAAACATTTTGTACCGTAGTTTGTAATTTTATTAATTGTTCCTCTACATTGTAGTGACGTAACTACTTGTAGACCTTACACGTTTGTCCTAAATTTGTGTTTAGACTGTGGCTGTTTCTTTTTCATGTTCTATAATCAATATCAAGTTGGCTTTAGTTAAAACAAGGCAAATTATTCATTTTTTAAAATAATTAATTGATGAACTAATCTAAAATAATTTTGTTTGGATGTGCTTTGAGTAACGTGTATTCATGATTTTAATTCAATCTTAAATGAAGTATGAAAAGTGACAAATCCTTACTTAGTAGACGTAAACATTATTATAGTAGTTCTAAGCCGAAAGATTATAAAATATTTCATACTAATAAGTAGCTAATTATTAGATGTTGTTGAATAGGGATGAAATTACTGATTCAATAATCACTTACACCCGATCTCCCACAATGTCCGAAAATTCCGTCTTGCTGTGGTTTTTAGAAAGACTATCAACCTCATGATTTCCGAAGAATCTTGGCTTTCACCATGAGGTGTCATAATTCGTCTAAATGAAGATGCGTCAACTCCCAGAACAAAGTTTAAATGGTTTAAATAATGTTTTTTGATTAGCGTTTTTTAGCAAGGTTGTTTTCTACGGGATGATGTTGCTGACCCTACGCCCAAACCTCCTCCTTTGTCCGGGCTTGAGGCCGGCATTAATCTTAGAAGAGCGGAGTTTCATTCAGTAATACCGACAGACTATTAACAATGGATTTTATCAATTGAACTGAAAAGCTTAGTTGATGATTAAAAAAAAGCTAAATTTTAATATTTGCTCAAGACTTTATAATATTGCTTTTCTATTTCTCATCTTCATTGTGAACTCGATTGACGTAGATCACTAAAATAATGTTCGCTGTTCATGTGCTTTACATTTATTGGTTTATGTTATTAAGAATCATATAATAAATGAGCTTTCAAATTTAATATTATTGATTCATTATTCATCTCTGATGTGATCAATCTAAGATGACTGTTAGATTGCCAATGAAATTACTGTAATTGATGTACTTTTTCTACAAGTTACAGACAGTAGGCATTTTGAAATTGTCTCTTCATTATTTTTAATAAAAGGGACCTTAATAAAATCTAAACATAAATATATCTTACTGTAGATTTAAACTATCAGCAACAGTAGAGATATATTTACTATAATGTTTTCATGTATTATAGAAAGTTATCATTTGTACATAAACTAAAAAATGCTTGTTTATTTGTATCATATATTTATATCATTCATATTTATACTTATCAACTGTATATGATGAACATATTACTTCTTACTTAAACAGCAAATTCATTTAAAATCTACCCTAGTGAACAATGATATTTATATCTCTACTGTTACTATTTCACTTACTTCAGACGCTTATAATTATTTATTATTTAGGATCAATTTTCAACAGGTATCTGTATAACTGAAAATGAGACAAATTCTGATACAGATAATTCATTAACCGGTGGAAGTGGTTCTACTGGTGGTCTACACTCAGATTATCAGCCGCCATACTTTCCTCCACCATACTATCCATCTATAACTACACCAATGATGATGATGGCGACAACAACGGAAACAGCAACTAATAGTTTAGGAACAAACTTCTATCATACTAATGGACAAAATACATCATTTATAAATGGTTCAAATAATTATTCTAGTAATTTTTATCATCCGAATTTATGTCATGATTCAAATATATTAAATCAACATTTACACACTTCTCAACATCATCACCATCATCATCATCAACAACAACAACAACAGTCAAGATTACATACAAACACATCGAATTTTCCATTTTCTTCATATTTTACCACAAATCCAAATTATTATTCATCAGTAAATTATATGAATGGATCTGTATTAACTAATGAAAATTTATCATCACTGTCATCATCTTCTGATATGAATCATACAAATATGTTTACAAATTATCCATTCAATTATTCAATACAAAGTGGTATTCAAACATGTAACACAGCAACAATAGCAGATCAGGTAATATTCTCACATGAATTTATATGAATAATATGTTTCTATGCATTATTCAATAGATTGTGAAATGAATGTTTTTTAACAAAAAAAAATATTCTATTCTAATGAATTTGTTATTAATTATCTTGAAGAATTGAGAAATCACTTCAATTAAGATTTCTGAAAAAAAACCAACTTCATAGTATCCAGTGGATGACCAACATATAATAGTAGGCTGTTGCTGATGGTATCCGGCCAATGAACATTGAAAATCTTGAGTAGACAATTGTTTATAAATACTTGTACATTTTTGGTGATGGTTGTAGTAGTTCTCCAAGTTTCAACTCCATACAGCAGAACTGTCTTGATGTTCATATTGAAGATTCTGACTTTGATATTGGTTGACAGTTGTTTTGAGTTCTATATGTAGTACAACTGTAGGAATGATGTCGTTGCTTTACCAATCATCGCTTTTACGTCTGCATTCAATCCTCCACCCAGATAAGTGAAACTTTCCATCTCTTACATAGTTTTTCCATCAAGTGTGATTGAGTTGGAAATTATTTAACTAACTGAATTGTAAATAAATCAGCATAATTTTTCTAAAAAATCATTCTTTACATCAACTAGTTTTTGTAGTAAAAACTGTTAACTTTATTGAAGATAAAATTGAAGAAATTTGTTTATTACGGTCAACACGATTTCATTTCATTAATAACCCAATGTAAGCCACTTCTAAGTTTAGTTAATTAGTGATATAATACAATCCTTAAGTCGAGTTGTTTATTTCTTTAGGATATCGAGATGATAAGAAATGAATCGATCACTAGTTTATGTGATGAAATAATAGTTCAGTACTTCCAGGGTTTCCATGGTCGTCTAGCTTCAGTTGACTCATGATCTCAACCATTGTAATTACTTAATTTTTTTTAATTTATACGATAATTAAGAATAATTTTTTTTATTTAAGTAAAAATGATGTTTAAATGGTATTTCAATTTTAATAACTCTCTAGGTTTTTATTTAATTTTGAGTCATCATTCATGAATGTAAGCACAAGTTAATTAGGTTCTGTTTGTTTTCCTTTCTTCAAAGCGATTGTTCATATAAATTGAAGAACTTATTACTGAAATTTATGATTTTATTTTTCGGCTATGAAAAAGAAGTAAATAATAGATAGTGAATTATTTATCTTAGAAACTGGTTATCAGGACTTGGTAACTAAGTGGATAAAGCGATGGTGTTTGAAGAGTCCCAGAGTGAACTTCAACTCGGAGATGCAGGTACATCCAACTGACGAGTACCAAATAGGATGAAATGCAGGTCCTGGATTCAACTGCTAGCCACTATCGATCTTTGCTTAGAATATCCTAGCATTAGTTAATATATAAAAGAAAATCTGTTTGTTCACAATGTACAAATTGGCTTTGAACTAGTGTAAACTTATATGAAACTTGTAATATTAGTTAATATCACTCAAAGTTTCAAATGTTATTGCTCTCTTTAAAAAACATTCTAAGATAAGAAAGTTCCTTAATAATATACAATCTATGCCTAAATAAGTAAATTACAGAACTTCATTAATTAAAAGAAACACATTAGAGGATATCAATGCATAGGTAGTTATGTAGTGAACGAGAGCACAAATGGCGACAATCAAATGTATTTTAATACAATACAGATTATTTTAGTAAAATCTGAGAACTATACAGTAAATTCTTCATTTGCAAAATATCAATCAATTGTCTCAAACTTGACTGTTCTTTCTTTTCCACATCAATCACTCTCTGTCCTCGTTCTCTTTTATTTGATCTTTTTAATCTTCGGCCCCAGGCATTTCACTTTTGACTGATGACATATACTACTTATATCTGTTGACATCAATAACATACACCACAGTTACAATTACAAATATGATGAAACGGGAAAATAATGTTACATACTCCTAAATCTTCTTATTAATTACCTATAAGTAATTAGCACTTAGTTAGTCATTTAATTTTAACTGAATTTTATAAAACGATAGGAATAGGGATAGTAGGATGAATGAAACTTAACACTATACTATGTTTGAAATTAAACAGTAGGATACCCTGTATTAAAGTTGATCACTTGCAACATTATTCACCGGAAAAGGTTTGCCCGATCTCATAAGCTTCTGGGTACCTTCGTGAAACATTAGCGGTTTTTTAGATTATAAGTTGTGTTAAAGTTTTAATGATTATATAGTAAATCTATTTTTATTCTTAATATTTATAGATTGTAAACATTCTTCCACGATCTAAACTATCTGAAATGGTTGATCATTTAACACAAAATAACAATAATCACAGTAGGTGTAACAATAATAGTAGTAATATTAATAATAATAATAATAATAATGGTGGTGGTGGTGGTGGTAATTCCAAAACACTACACTTAAAAATCGATGATGAAATACATGACGTTGAAACTTCAGCTACTAGTTCACAGTCTTCTTCTTTCATACATCGTTCAAATATGCACCACTGTTCACTTATACCTGAATATGAAATGGTAGAAAAAAATTTTGGGCAATCACAACATACAACAGAATCAAACTATCAACAAGTAAGTTAAGTTTTAAATCATTTATCTATCGAACTAAAATGATATGTTAACTACATAAAAATTAATGCTGGCTCAGTGGTCTAGTGGTTAAACGCTCGCGTGCGAGACTGATAGGTCCTGGGTTCGAATCCCATCAGATGAGGTCATAGAGACACACTGCTGAGGAGTCCTACAATGAGACGAGACGGCCGTCCAGTGCTTCTGGGTTTTGCATGATGGTCTAGCTTCAATTGACTCAAGATTTCAACTATTGATATTTAATTTTCATAGATATTTTAATTCAGACTATAGTTTTACTTACCTTTTAAATAATTATCATAAACAATTTTAGAGTGGATCTCCTTCATCAATAGATACTACAGAATCATCTCCACACAATTCATCACAATTTTTATCTCCAGAATCGAATAAAGGAAATTTTGAAATAGGATCTGAAATTAATAGAATGCAAATGAGTAGTACATCAACAACTGATCCTGGTAGAAATATCTATTCGTCTCCAGTATCATGTGGAATGAATACCGATGAATTAAATTCAGAAGATAAAGTAAGAAATCATGAAGAGGAGAAAAATACGTTAAGAACATTTAATTATCCTGATATAAATTCATTAAAAAATGTATTCAATATGGGAATTACTTCAGAAATTCAAAATTTAACAGAAGGTTTATTAAATGATCCTACAAATGTTATGCTACAAACAAACTTAACTCAAAATTTAGATCAATCTAATACTTATATGTCACATTCTCAGGGAGCAAGATTTTCAGCAAGTTTTAATACTGAATGTACACAGAATGTTATTTATCAACCGACTGCTTCAGTAACACCTGAACAACCGTTTAGTCGTTTATCTGGTGGGGGAAATGGTGGAAAAAATGGATTTTGTAAAAGAGGTTAGTATATTTATTTGATGACGATGTAAGAAAAATCTATTCATCATTGATTAATCATTTGCACTTTTCATGTCAATGATATTTTATCAATCAAGTTTATATATGTCCATTGGTTTAAATTATTTGACATCTCTCTCACTATGTACTCTGTTTCATATTAGTATAGTTGAGTAAAAAGTATTTGCAGTATTGACGGAATTGATTAAATAATAATTCTTATATAAACTTTAAATTATTCACAATGAGTTGGTATGTTATACTTTTCATAAAAACTTATTTGTTGATGAACTGTTTACATATGGGTAGGGTTTATCTTTAAATGAAAGTTAAGTATCATAGCCTACATGATGAACTCATATTTGTTATACAATCACTAAAAAGTCAGTGGGCACTGTATACCTGTTTCAACCTAGTGTGAAACTTTTCAATAGTATGCGTTCACGAACACAACAGAGATTGAACTAGAAGTATTCAGATCTTTCAGTGATAGCTTAACCTTCAAACCAGTGAGCTGGCTTACAATATGTTACATTCCTTAATCGTTTCATGATATTGTTGAGATGTTACATAATAGGACGAAACAATGCTTATTCTGTCCGGTTCCTAATGGTTATCTAACTAAGATCAGTCCGTGATATAATCTGTTTAATCGAATAACCTCCATAAACAATTATCACAATATAAATGTTAAAATGTCTAGTTAATTTCTATCCCTAGATATTTTAGTAAAGTTTTGTTGATATCAATTCAGATTAAATAGTCATTTAAGATAAGAAAAAGTATTTTCATTGAGTCTACATATCAGTTTTATATATATATATATATATATATATATATATATATATATATATCAAAACTAGACCACCATGGAGATTGATAGATCCTGGATTCAAATCTCGCCAGGTGGGGTCATGGACGCAGACTGTTGAGGACTCTCACAATAGAACGAATCAGCCATCTAATACTTCTAGGATTTCCATAGCGATCTAACCACAATTGTTTCATGACCTCAACTATTAAAATATCCAATTCATTTCATTAATACATATTTGTACTGATTCGTGTGAATTTTTACATATTTAACGTATATAGTCTATTTCATCTTGAATATATATATATATTCTATTTTGTCATGCCCTTAAGCAAAACATATGAAAATGAATAAATATTCCAATATTGTGAAAAAAAAGCGTTTCCATATGAAAAAAACCTCTTTTTGTTGTTGTTGCATTATACAATTAGAATGAATCTGTTAAACAGGTGGATAAATTTAATCTTAAGGGATTGAAACTTTTTTTTATTTAGATTAATATAAAGTTAATTCTTTACTAAAATTATATACATATTTGTAGAAATTATAAAAATAGAAAATTCATTATGTAAATTATGTGAATAAATTTCATCATTTGTTTTTTCTTTCTTTTCTTTTTCTTTTTTTTAAATAAGAAGAAAATTAGCTTATGTAACACATTCGTTTTACTTTTAATCATTAAAGAAAATGATTTATAATGTAAGAAATTTTACAGTGGTAATATGTATATGTGTATATAGGATAAAGGGAATTCAATAAATGTGGGATAAATTGTAAGAGGACATTATTCTATTAATTATAATTGTTTATTTTATATCTTGAATTATAACTAATATAAATAAAAAAAGGTTTAAATGAATTTTCAAACTTCAATAGATCGTTTATATGGTTTTCTTTTTATTAAAAGTAAGTTATAAAACGAGAAAAATAAACCTGTTTATGATCTTAGCTTAAACTTACTCTGTAGAAATCTGAATGAAAGATAAGTCATTTCGGATGGATAATAAGTAATCATTTGTTGAATTTCTAAAATAATTTTATTGTTTGAGTTCTTATATTAAGCGAGGAATACTTTGGCGGTTCACGAATATTTATTATTATTATTATTATTATTGACTTTATGCAATATTATATTTTTGGTACAATATAGAATTCTCAGTGCAAAGTATTTCAACAAGTTTCCATTTCTTATTTCTTGATCGATCCTAACGATAAATATTAAGTGATCAACATTTAGATGTTACCAGTTCATAAATCAACATTTGAATAATGTACATTCTTCTCGATGTATATTGCCAGAAACCATAGTGTCTCTGATTGTGCTCTTTCCTAACTTGTACAGAGAAAGGTTGTCAGCTTTTCATAAACGCATCTGAATAGTTTATGCAATTAATTGACATAATGATCTGTTGAAACAAATAAAAGACAGATAACTTGTTGAAATATCTAAATGGCAAGAACAGGTAGCCTAGATATTCAAGCAGGCCCCCAATAAGTGGTCTCTTATTGATTTAATAGGACTCCCTAATAAAATGCTAAGATTTAAAAAAATATAAAGAAAGGAAAATACTTTATAAAATCATAATTAACATATATGAAATTGATCAGTTAAATGCACGGATTATTTATTATAAACTATATCTATTTTCAATTTATTCTATTACAGAATAGAGCAATAAATCAGGCATAATAATTATAAACAACATTTAAGTAATTTAAATTAAGACGGCAACACATTAAATATTATCATTTTGAGTATACCCATCGCTTAATAAAAGTTTATGCACTTATAGAGGAATTGAATGTATAATTTTTCATTCATATGCTCTATCTTCATTACCAATATAAATTAATTTCTATGAGAGTAATGACATAACAAGAAAAGTAATTAATTTAACTGCTAAACTGAAATAGGAAATTATTAGAAATCTAAGACAATCTTAGACGTCTAAGATTACTAATTTATAAATTATAAATGTATCTCCTAGCCTGGTACACAAACTTGTATGTTGTTACTGAATTGAATTAAACGTTCACTTACGAAAACGAAGGACTTGGATCCGATTCTCATGTGAGGTGTCGTAGAAGCCCACTGTGAAGCAGTTCCATACTAGAACAAAACGGCAGTCGAGCGATTTCAGGTTTTAAATAGTTGTGTAGCTAAGATCAGTTAATCATTTAAACTGCAGAGAAAATAAGTACGAATAAACTCTCAGAAAGAACCTTAAATGTAGTGGGACTTTATTATTAAGATTGCTTTTGAATTTTGTAATTAAATAGCTGCAACGTGAAATAGATCATTACTGTTTGAAATTAGTAAACCAACTCTTTGATAATAAGAAGTAATGTGATGCAGACGAAAAAACTGAAAATAAAGGACTAGGAGAATTTACCTGAATTCATATTAATTACAAAAATGGGATTTTTAAACAAATGAATGCGACAATGGAGATTGTAGTAATTTTAATAGTTGAATTCATGAATCGATGTAAGCTAGACTACCATTAAAAACCTGGAAGCACTGAAAGGTAACCGTTACCAGTGGAGTTCAATCTGTGTCAGGTAGAGACAGGTATCTACCTCAGATAATGGAATGAGTGGTTGTGCAGCCATTCATAGATCGATAGAATTTAAACATTACCACCATTGAATGCCGGTTCAATGATCTACAGGTTGGGCGTTCGCGCGTGAAACCAAAGGACCTGGGTTCGAATACTGCATGCGGGATTGTGAACGTTCACTTCTAAAGAGTTCTATATTGTAACGAAACAGTCATATATTACTTCCAAGTTTTCAATAAGGTGGTCTAGCTTACATAGACTCATGAATTCAACTATTAAATTATTTCATCCAATATTCTTTTGGTGACATTAAAATTAATTTAATTTTCGAAAATTCATTATATTTATAGAAATAATGCATTAGACAATTATTACATTATACTTTGGGATTCTTTAATATTAGCACAGTTGAAATAAGTAACCATAATTGTTAGCTCAGAAAATAATGATGTATCTGTTATATATATATATATATATATATATATATATGTTAAAAAAAGGAAAATAAATATTAAAATCATTTTATTGTAATCATTGACTAAATTTATATTTTAATGGGCTCTTGAAGTTGATAGTATTTAGTTGGTTATAAGTACCCGCAATAAGTTAAAAATAAAAAAATAAACCATTTTATATTTATTCGTCAAAACCCACTAAAATAATAAACAAATGTACTCGTTTTCTATATCAATTTAGTCATAACTTTGTCTTTATATATATATATATATATATATATATATATGATAATTATGTTAATAATTAACTAAATAAACAAATAAAGTCTTTTTTTAACAGAAAGTTTAAGATGAGACTAGTTGAAGCTAGACATTAACATCGTTGGATGCCAGCCGGCTCAATGGTGTAGAAATTACGCACTCTCGTGTGAGACTGATAGGTCCGGGGTTCGAATCTCACAAGGCGGAGTCGTGGATGAGCACTGCTGAGGAGTTCCAAAATAGGACAAAACGGCCGTTCAGTGCTTCCAGGCTGGTTTAGCTTCAATTGAATTGTGATCTCGACTATTGAGACTTAAGATGAGAATTCGATAAATATTTTAATAAATTCAAATAATATTTTTATAAATGTTATAGGTAATAATTTCTTATTGAAATTCGAACTAACTGAATTAATCTAATAGATTTTTCTTTAAAACTTAATAGTTTAATTCATGAGCTAATTAAATCACTGAATGGCCGTCTCGTTCAAGTATGGGACTCCTCGGCAGTGCGCACCGATGGTCACGCTCACGGGATTCAAACCCAGGACCTATCGGTCTCGCGAGGGAACGCTCTATCTGTAAACCAATGGCGTTGATGTCTAACTTCAACCAATCCACAAAATCGAGCCACCGTCCATCATTGTTTTCAGTGAACTACTATTTCACAACAGACCCAGGTAAATTTCACTGGTCACGGCTTCTCACTATAACTCCAGGAAATACCTCTTGAAGCCAGTCACTAGTGAGTACATGATGATCAATATCAGGAGGGAGTTTTGTGGAGATTTTACTAATTTAATAGTTGAATTCATGAGTCAACTGGAGCTGGACCACCATAAAAAACGTTTAATTTCATTTTATTTTTCAAAATGATTTAATTGAATTATATTGTAGTGAACGAGAACACCAGTAAGGACAACCAAATGTACTTAAACACAAAATTATAGAACATTTTAGTAAAATCTGAGAACCATATAGTAAATACCTCATTTAAAGAATATCAATCAACTGTTTCAGACTTGATTGTTCCTTCATTTTTATACCAATCATTCTCCATTCTCGTTCTCTTTTCTTAGATCTTTTTAAATCTTCCGCCCCCAGGCATTTCACTTTCAATTGGTGATACATACTATCTCTTTCTGCACACACCACAGTATGTATTCTTTGCAAGTGATAGTTTCGACAAGTTTACATGACATAATAGATATTTATTTTTATTAACTTCAGAATAATTAAAAGTTAGATAACAGTGAATAGTTTAGGTCATTCTATTAAGAGAAAACTTTTATGGTGTACACCTACAACATTCTACTTAAATAAGCTATGAACTTTCACGCTTTACGATAAGCTTGTTATGTTTAAATTAATGAATCAGAATACAATGGTCTTTATCAGCAAATTCAATCAACTTTTGAAAATCAATATAAACTAAATCATTATAGCCATACAATAATCTAGTAAAATTGATAATAACAGTCTAACTTAGAATACGACTGAACCCTATTAGTCATAACATCTTACTAGAATTTTGTCGATCTATTTCAAATATAACCCATTAATGAGCGAACGGGACATTAATTCTTTGATTATGAATTATGTGAAACATTAACAAAATAAGTTTACAACTGAATGTTATCAAGAGCGAATGATTTTAAACAAACAGTTCATTTTAGAAACCCTTACAGGCCAATCAGAAGACAGAGGTAATTCGAAAAATTGTTTAAAAATACCGGGTTTTCCGTACATCAACATCACCGCAATGAACTAAACGAATCAAAAAGTCAAAATCTTTCCTGGCTGCAAAGAGAATTTTCATCTGTTATTTGTTTTAAAGTGTTTTATTTGGTTGTGAAACTATTTATTAGGCTAAGCTTTTATAATCAGTACACTTTTAATACTTGAGGTAATATTTAGTTGATTGGTTTTATGATAACTAGGAACTACTTATTATTGGTAGTAGTGTGGTGTATGCTACTGATATCAATAGATATCAGTCGTATGTATCATCATTCGAAAGTAGAATGCCTTGCAGCAGAAAGTTAATAAGATGGTTGCTGTGAAAATGAAGGAACAGTGAAATCTGAGATGATTGATTGACATTTGCAAAAAGGAACAGTTAAGTTTGAGACAATTGATTGACATTTTGTAAATTAAGTCTTTACTGTATGGTTCTCAGATTTTACTAAGATGTTCTGTAATTTTGTATTCAAATACATTCGATTGCCCTCACTTGTATTCTCGTTCACTACAGTAATACGAAGAATATCTATTAAAAAACATTATATCATAAATCAGTTTGATATAATTTGCCATTTGAAATCTATGGTTAATAACAGCAAATATCCTTATGTACACAATATGAAAAAAAAATATATTTTATACCTTAAGTTACAATATTAGTAATAATGAATTTCAGTCAATCTATAGTTTATTAAAGATGGTGGGTGGATTTTTCGATGAAAAATAACTTTCATATGGTATAGTATATATTATTCAAACAACTAAAGACAAATCGAAATAATCGTTCAAAGATCTAGGGGTATGGTACTCGCTTTGGGTGAGAGTGGTCCAGGGTCCGAATTCCGGCTGGGTTCGTACTTTGTTCAAATACTAGTCTTTTAAATCGAAATAAATTTTAAATATCTACTATTTGATCCATAATCTTATAAGAGGCACATACTACTCATAAGAATTGCTTTTGTTTCTATTTACTCAATGATGTCACTAGTTTTTTTTCACATTAAGTACTATCCTCTTTAATAAAAAATGATAAGCCTTAAATTTAACATAGTTTAATTATATATTTTAATCTATCAATAAATGACTTAAAATATTTAATGAAGTATTGAAATGTATAAGAAAGAACTTATAGAATACGTTTTTATTTAAATACAATCAATGGAATGCTTTGCTCATTTATTACTTTACATGAAATCTCTCTTCTTAAAATTTCTTTTTTTTCTAAATTCTTAATCTTGTTTCTTTTATATGTAAACATATTATTATATGATTTTATGATGTTGGTGTTGTTATTTATTTATTATGAATCATATAAACAAGTTATATTGAAACATAATAACGTTTAAGTTGAAAGTTATTTAGGGATCATTCAATGTTTACTTATTTATCCTCATTTATACATAAAGGACTATATTCACACCTTTAATATACAACTAATCCTTCATTAAATGATGGGATTATCAAACTTGTAATCATCATTTCAGTCCACTCATTTTAATGATGTACCAGAAATATGTATATATATATATATATATATATATATATATATATATATATTCATAAATTTATTTTAGAGGAAAAGAGATATGAGAGAAATGAACTAATACTAAGTTTCATCAAAGTTACGTAATAAATCACGATGTTTTTATAAAGTATTAAAGAAAGGAGACGGTATAAATCAATGTATCTCTAAAGTTTTCTCATAATAATTACATAATTTTAAGATTATTATTATTAAGTTCAATTTAACTAGTCTTTTTTTAATAACTTAAGATATTCAGTTATCTAACAGGAATAGTGTAGTTTAGTTTGCCCTTTCCTCATAAACTTAGTTAACTATACACGTCATCGAGTTAGTTTTTGATGTAGAAAATTGTTCATTGTTAAAGATGGATCATGGATGAATCAACCTGTGAATGTTCAAAGCCAAGAGGATAATACTTGACCAGGTAATATTCAAGAGATGTGAAACTGGTATACCTATAAGACACATCCTTGAATTGAACAATTCATTATATCAAAGACGAGTTCGGTTTACACTTCATTTCCTATTGATAGTAAATTTGTATTAAAGATCAGATTTGTTAGTTCTCAACTGGTAATCAACTTGATTCATCAATAACAATCTAAAGCAAAAAAACTGATCGAAATATGTAGTTTGATCTAGGACAGATGATGATTTAATAATTCGTTTAATTAAGCTAATGATTCTGATTGAGATCATGGATCGATCGATGTTAGACCACCATTGAAAACCTGAAAGCACTGGACGGCCGTTTCGTCACAGTATGGGACTCCTCAGCAGTGCACATGCAAGATCCCCCACTCAGGATTCGAACCCAGGACTGTTGGTCCCACGTGTGAACGCTTAACCTCTAGACCACGTTGAAGGCCTAGGTCTAATTCTCGGTCTAGTAGTCGGTTTTCCTGGAAGTTAAGCGTTCGCGCACGAAACCGAAGCTGTTGGGTTCGAATCCTGAGTGCGAGATTGTAAATGTGCGCTGCTGAAGAGTCCCATACTGTGACGAAACGGCAGTTCAGTGCTTCTAGCTTTTCAATGGTGGTCTAACATTAATCGATTCATGGCATCAATCAAAAATTTAATAATTTTCACGACCTCATACTGATGAGCTAAATTTGTTGGCTCCATTATTTAAACTTTTGTAATTCGTATATATCAGATAATTAGACATATTCTAGATGTGAATAATCTGTGAACGGCATTGGTACATATGGATTTTATAAATCTAAAAATTATTTTATTAATATAACATTTATTTATCCCGTTAAACTTTGATTAAATTTTGGAAGATTATTGGCTAAGCTTATTTTCAGAGTTTCATCTTGTTCACCAATAGATAAAAGATCGGTTTTCTAGTACTCTTAAGAAAAACTGTCATTTTCAGTTTTCACTATTCATAACCAACTTCATAATTTAGATAACTGAGATAAGACAATAAATGAGCTAATCTGAATCATAGTAGAAATAAAAAAAACTTTATGTCATCACTTGTGGCATATTCTTGAATATGTATGCTACTTCATAAACAGATTATCGGTGATAATAAATCAACGAATACTAACATATTTTATGGTCTATATAACGAGCTAAGCTTAACCATAAAGCCGTCGAAAAGCAAGAAGATTTGAGCAGCCGTTTTATCTTAGTATCAAGCACAACAGTAGTGAACAGTCGCGGCCCCACCTAGGATTGAGCTAGGGACACAGCCATCGTGGCTGGCGCTGGTTAACTAACGAATAACATTTCTGACATTAATCAGTTTGCGGCAATCCATAAGAATCTTCCAATGTTAATGGTAAAGACCTCCTCTCCTCTGATTTAGTTGAATTCCACTGACTACGGTTTCTCATTAGAACTCCGTGAGTCAATGCTTCGAAATTAGTCACTAGTTAGCACATGATGATCAATAGTATAAGGGGTTTGTGAACTACATTAATATAAATGTTAATTACTGGATGCTGACTAAATGATCTAAGGGTTAAGCACTAGATAAAAGATCAGGTGTTTTGGGGTTATGAATGTTCATCGTTGAGTCCCACACTTGGACGAAACAGTTGTCTAATTCTCCTTGGTCTTCGATGGTTTTAAAACCAAGTTAGTTTGTTTCGCAAACTATAAAACTCTACCATTTACTTGAACTCCGTAAATTTGAAATACTAAAGCAGATAGTTTTTCACCTCGTCCTAATTTCATCGGCCAAACTGAAAAAACCATGGAACACTAAAACATACTTTTTTCTAGTTTGAAACTTCGCTTCATTGTAAGCTGACAACTTCACAAATTACAAGGCCCATGAACACACTGTCTATCCAGAATCCAATGGTCTACATTTTTGACTTCAGTCAACTAATAGTAATACTGTTCTCATTCATTTTCTTTGTGGGAGAACCACGTTACCCTCGACATTACTTGCCTGACAGGTCTTCATCATTATTCCTATAAGTTGTATTGCAGTTTTCATGTGGAGAACTTGGTTAAAATAGGAAGCATTAACATAATTGTCTTGGCTTAGCTCTGCAAAGATAAATTCAATAAATGACTTTTCATAGTCAGTATTATATTTATTTGCTACCTGAATTCTTTTTTAGAAAGTTTGCAATATAAAACCTTATTTTTTCATTTTCTTTCCATGAAGCAATTAGATATAAAACAGCTTTAGATGGACGGACAGATTTTATTCATGCACCGAGCCCATCCGATATATTTTGTACTGTTCCTGGGCGCCTATCATTACTTAGTTCAACTTCAAAATATAAAGTAACTGTTGCTGAAGTTCAAAGACGTTTATCACCACCAGAATGTTTGAATGCTTCATTACTTGGTGGTGTTTTACGCCGGTAAGTTTTACAATTAACTGTCAGTTTGGTTTTTCTTTCAAACATATTTGTAATTTCAGAAGGGGTTTTTGTGGATGTTGTAGTAATTTCAACAGTTGAGATCATGAGTCTGGCTTCTCAACTATTGAAATATTTATAATTGTTATCATTTTACTAGAAATAATTATGAACTGTAACTGGAATACTAACGAAACAAATTGAAACGTTACTTTACAATAATAACACATAACTTTATGAAGACTACTGTAAAAGTGAACTCTTTAAATTATGAATGAGAACATTAGTATACTACTTTTTTTTCAAAAATAAAAACAAAGTAGAAGACTTCAGAGATCTGTATCCAATAATATTTAATATCTAAACATTTTAAATAGTAAGCACTTTATGGTCTGTTATTTAGTTGTGAACGATTTGGTCATACAATCTTTTTCACTATCACTTATGGACTGGTGAAAATTTTAAAAACAACTAATTTATTACCTTGAATACAAATTCTCAGTATCATCTTCAGAGTAATAAATTGACAGTGTTATGGTAGGTCTCATTGTACGTTTAAATAAGACAGTCATCTATTTAAAATCAGAACTAACAAAAGTTTATCTTCAATATTTTACTCAAAAACAATTGAAAAATACAATGAGTTCCACTGATTAACAATTGGAAACCAGAGAGCACTGAATATCATTCGATCTGCACTAAGAAGGACTTGACACATATGAAATTGAACACCACCCAGTGATCAATCAATTGTGATTACATCTCAGTCCTACAGGAGGTCGGTCGCGGCTTGGATAGCCCAGTGGCAACGTCTCGGACTGTGAGGCTAGGTTATACGGGACCGAATCCGCCAGGGAGCTCCAGTTCCCTCAAAGAATTCAGGTACACCTTGCTGGCGAGTGCCAAGTAGCACGAAACCCGGGTCCAGGGTTTCCTGTTGACTACCTCCAACCACCATCTAAGCACTGAATACAATTATGTCATCCTAGTTTTTAACACATCAACAATGTACACTCGTAGTCATTGTAAACCTGAATCAAAAGTATATTGTTCATTATCCTGACATCAACTATTTTTTTGTTATTTGATTTAATTGTTCATAGTTTAATGTTAATTTCATTGAAACAAATTCATACTCAACAGATGTTCACTTCAAATTCAAAATTTTACACAGCAGGAGACTATATTATTTTGATCGTTCGATCTCTTGTATCAATCATATTCTTTTCTTCCTTTTTTTTAAAAAAAATGCGGATTATGCAACTAGTCATTTTATTGTTTTAAGTGGCTCATTAGAGAAAAAACTATATATGATCATTGTTTTGAAGTAAATAAAAATTATTCAATGCCTTCAGGGTTTTTCATTTTATATTATCAATCTAATAACACTCTAATTTATTTTGTTGTTGTTGTAATAGTCAAACATCTCTAACATAAGCATATAGACACTCGAAAATAAACTACTTAATAAGTAAACTGATTGGTTACTGTGTATTCATTTTAATAATTTAAACTTTTATAAATGTTAATTAGTCAATATAAAATCTCATAGATATTTGATTAATAAATAAAATATGTCCTTTAAATAATAAGTAAGTATGGAATAATGTAATTTGTTATTCATTGAGATCGTGAACTGATTGATTTTAGACCACCGTTGAAAACCTGGAAGCACTGGACGGCCGTTTCGTTATAGGGTAGGACTCCTCAGAAGTGCGCATTTGGGATTCGAACCCAGGATATTCAGTCTCGTGTGTGTACGCTTAACCTCTAGACCATTGAGTCGGCATCCAATGGTGTTAGTGTCTAACATCTCACTAGAACTTCTCGAATTCCTTCACTAAGCTAGTCACTAGTGAGCACATGTTAATTATCAGTATAGGGTTGTGGGGATTATTAAACTTATTAATCTCCACAACCCTATACTGGTAATTTGTTATTCATTATGAACAAAGCATTTGGAAATGATATCCAAATAAAGCAATTTTATATAAAATTTGATCCAGTTTCTAGTATGAACATGAAATTTCTAGATTATTTAGTGTAAAAAATAAATCTAATCTCTAAACAGCTTCAAGTTAGTAGTTTTAGTTTTTAGTAGCCTGTTGTGTTCGCCCGTGGTGGCGGGCTCACCAGTTTAGTGGCACGTTGTGTTCTGACTCCAATTTGATCGTATGAATGTTTGCTATCACCTATCCTCGTATATAATCTTTGACTTAAATCGCGTTAGTTAATAACGGAATTAAATAAGTCAAATAACGAGAATGGAGTTTTGAATGCATATATTATGTATAATTGTTGATTAGACAAACGAACGGAGGAACGATGGGAAGATGAGAAAGCGAAGCTAAATTGGCGCGCGGTGGAGATGGCTGGTAAGCCAACGCCCATTTAACGAGTTAATCAATATTTATAAGCCCACAAAAATAAATTACAGACATGTGATGAGTAACGGGATATGAAGTGTACATACGCCTACGCGCTCATACAAAGACAGTCAAGATATTGATGAGTGAATAATTAACAAGATCAGAATGTGACTCAAATAGAATGAATAGAATGGGCTGTCCGAAAGTTAGAATAATAAGGTATTTGGGTATAACATAATGACAGACACTACAAGTTTGTATGCACGTTATTAGGCAAGATGACTGAAAAGCATTCAGTGTTATTTGACTTACACAATTAGTTCATGAAATTGTAGTAAAAACTTCTATTGAAATTATATTTTAAATTCCTACGATCTTTGATTCAGTTGATCTAATTCAATACCATCTATACATCTAAGACTCATGTAAGTTATTTCCATTGTTTGTTATAGATATTTTATTGCTATTAATCAAATCTCTTTTAACTAGACTGAAGTGTAAATCTATTTATTTTATTTATTTAATTAAACTAATTTTGTGCAAAATAATGTAAAGCACACTAAAATACAATATTTATACTAAAAGTATGTACCATTAAATCGTAGGAAATACGTTTATCGAGAAATTAAAAGCTTCAATTTTCCAAAATGAAATTTAATAATGATCATCATATTTTTTGTGACAAATTTCATTAGAGCAAAATCTAAAAATGGAGGAAGATCATTACGTGATAAGTTGGACAAAATTGGATTAAATTTACCAGCTGGACGGCGAAAAGCAGCAACAGTTACTCTGCTAACTTCACTTGTTGAAGGTAGGTGCCTTTTTTTATATTTTTGATTGACTAAATATGGTATGAATATGAAATTTGCATGCTTTTCAAGTATATACCATCAGATTTATGATTAAAAACTGCTATTATGCACATAAATGCAATGAAATTTGGGTTTTGGATAGAATAATGACTGCCCATTTATTAAATGAATTCTTTTACTGTATTTAATAATTAATTATGATAAAAAGCTGACAAAATCATTTAACATTAGTTTATTTAATGAACACTTGGTCCAATAAAAGATAAATTTCTAATAGGAACTTGACTGTTCTTTCTTTTCCACACCAATCAATCTCTGTTCTCGTTCTCTTCTCGTCGATCTTCTTAATCTTCTGCCTCCAGGTATTTCACTTTCGATTGATGATACATACTACTTATTTCTGTCGATATCAGTAGCACACACCACAGTATAAGTTATTCATTGCAAACTTATAATTTTTGCTGTTATGAAATTGGAGTAAATGTTCCATCTTTCATTAACTAGTAATCAGCTTCCCATCACTGACTTCTAATTATCCTGATAGTATCTAACAAAACCAAATAGAAACGTGTAAATAATCCCACCTACAATTCAATTTACTCATTTATTGTCTAACAAAGTAATAATCAATGAACCGTAATAAACAAGAGAAAAAAAAGATGGGTATGTCTATTCTTCACCTGGTTCACTTATAACACGTGTTTTCTTCCATGTATAAGGGTGTATACCTTATTTACATTAAACAAACATGATGAATTCAATAATTATCACGTTAAAGTAATTACATTTCAATTTTATACAGAACTGAAATAATTTTAAAATGAGAGAACTGTAAAAAATTCTATATTTATATGTTTTGCAATTACATTCTACCGTCGTTGTGGGATGATTAAGATGAAAAATCTCTACTTTATCTAAAAATGAGAAAATAACCTATGATTGTTTACAGGAAAACATATAAAGCAAAATTAAAAAAAAACATGTTTTTGCACAAAAAGATAATAACGGATAAGATGAGACAAAAGCGACATCTAACTTGAAAAAACATTATGTATTCATTACCAATCATTCTATGTAAAAACGAAATCAGTATTATACTCCAATTATTTAATTGACTTGAAGTTATGAAAGAATTTTTTTGAAGTGTTTGCATAACTTTTGTTTATAAATTACTTTTAATAGAATTTACCAAACGAACTTTAATGAGACTTGGATTGATGAGCTGATATTTTTTGATTGAGATCATAAATCGATTGATGTTTGAGCACCATTGAAAACCTGGAAGCACTGAACGGCTGTTTCGTCCTATTGTGGGACTCCTCAGCAGTGTGCATCCATGACCCCCGCCTCGCAGGATTTGAACCCAGGGTCTATACTGACAATTACCATGTACTCATTAGTGACTAACTTCGTGAGGGAATTCTCGGAGTTATATTGAGAAGCCGTGACCAGTGGAGCTAATTCATGTCAGGTAGAGACAGGTATTTACCTGGAAACAATGGAAAATGGTCACGCAATTTCATAGATTGGTTGATGTTAGACATTAACACCGTCAGATGCCATCTCAGTGGTCTAGAGACCAAGCATTCGTGCGCGAGTTCAAAGGTCCTGGAATCGAATTCTGAGTGAAGGATAGCGGATTCGCACTTCTGAGAAGTCCTACAATAGGACGAAACAGTCATTCAATGCTTTCAGGTCTTCAACGGTGGTCTAACATCAATCAGTTCATGATCACGATCAAAAACTTATTAATCTCCACAATCCTATACTGATGCTATTTATTGGTAGATTTTAAGGTGTTTCTAAGTAATTAACAGACATAAATTGAATTAAGTTTGAAATGTAGACTTTGTTCTATATTTAATCTTTTTAATGGTATATTCTTTTGACTTCATAGACTGAACAGAGGGAGTATAGTTTTTGTCCAGTATATGTCGGTTATAGAACTAAACTTCAATTACATTGACTTAAAACCATAAACAATCCAATTGTATACTTTTATTTTTTAATATTTGTTCCAAAATGACAATAGATTTGTTGTATTTAGTAAGATTAGATATTTGAAGAGATAACTTAGTTATTGGATTGTTTAAAATAGCTCTAGTTGAAGGAACGATTTATTTGTTTGGTAATTATCAGTGAATTTTAATCATGTACCTTGTCAGCCAAATGATTTCATGGGTTTGTTTAGTTAGATCATTCAGACGACAGTTCAAAAGAGGATCTAGTATCAAACATATATATAGTTCAACTGTTTTAATAAATTTATTGTTTAGAAATGTTCATTCAAAAAAGGCATAATTTCAAATACTAGGAAGCTATTTCAATTAATAATTTCACTGAAATTTTCATAAACCATAGTAATTATCTTAATTATTTCCTTTTATTTAAGTGACCATAATAACTAACAAAAAGATAATTTATCATGTCTATGATAATAGTGACAATTATTTTTCTTTTTCTCTCCATTCAACTCTGTAATTAAAAAGTGGTAAAAAAAACGAGTGAAAACCAAAAATAAAATTTAAAAAATTGAGGGAAAATTCCAGAATTTCATTGATTTTCTCCACCGTTTAGATCTGTACGTCTGTAGTGTTCAATTCTAAGAGATAATTTGTCTTACCTATCAAATGAATAAAACATGAAATAAACATTTTTAAAAAACTATCTGAACTGAATAGTTAGAGCTTATAAGTTCCTGTTGTAGTCTACAATTAATCAATCTCTATTGTTGAATGTACATCTTAAATAGATTGCTTTGATATAACCTTTAATCACAATGCTTTACTATATTTGATATATGGTTAGTAGGGAAATCCAGAAAACACATATCATCCGGTTTACTACCTTATTAGAGTAAATTTTTACATCTAGATTCCATTGAAAAAGGTGGTGGATATATCAATGTCTTTTTAATGCTACACTTTTGTATTAGATGACAAAATGTTAAGTGACCACAAAGCAATATTACCAAATATTTCTACAAACGTAAGCAATGTAAATAATTTTTAGTGCATTTGTCAGTGATGTTTAGTTATGATAAGTTATTTAAACAGTTGACGGGATATAATTTGCTTGCAGTTTCTAAAATTGTTGACTTTAATCGACGAATATACAGATTTAATTTATCTGGTATAAATTTTATGTTTAAGTTAATACTCCTTACCAGTTTCTTCGATTGTATTAATACTAATGGTTAAGTTATTGACTTTAAAGTGAATTGTAAGTGATTTTACGAACTTTATTAGTAGAATATACTTGATTAGTATGTTCATGAATAGATTATGGATAAATATTATTTGACTGGAAGATATAACAGTCAGTGTGTATCTAAAGCCATAGTATTAAATATTAGATACTAAACTACCTACTTATGTGTTTACAGTTACAATTTTATCAATATAGTTTTTGTAGATATTGTTATATTTTTATAGTCTAAATTATGGAACATACACATTAAAAATCAAGTCATTAAATAGCTTATTTAAACTATTACTCTCATTCTTGTAGGAATTGTTTTACATAGATCCTTTACACCTTTCTCATTTTTATTTGTTTTATTAAGTTGATGTGAAAGTTTAAAACTTCTGTCATCTGCGAAATAAATGCAGCTTGTCTACATTATTGCTGAATAAAAATAGAACTATTTCATACTATTTCTTTTTATTTTCACATGTCAATCAGATTAGATTTTTTTCCATGGTATATTTAGAGTTGTTTAACCGGAACTCTTCTTTTAAAGGAATATAGAGCTATCTGACGAACCACTGTGCAGTTATCTTACCTTTAATTTAGGATTTTATAACAATACAAATATTTGGTTGGAAGTCACTACTTGAATAATATCATGTTAACTACATAATTTAAAATGTTAAATTCTAAATTTAATTGTAAATGAAATTATATTTATCATAGAAAAAAAGTTCAGAATGAATCTGAAAGATTCTTCAACTGATATGAAAACAATTATTCCAATTATTAAATCACTAAAAACTTTTTTCTTCTTAAAAAATCCATCTGTTGAATGTAGCATAGATTAATAAAGAATAAAGTTTTTTTTTAATTAATGAAATCATTGCTTATTTCTTTTCCTTTGTTAGTAATATTTTCTACGTGAATTGAGTCCAATGGTTTTAATATTCATTTTATAGATTTTTAACAAAATGAACTTAAAATCTCATATTTATTCAGTGAAAATAATATTTGGGAGATATTATGGACATTTTATGGTTGATTTCATTGATGGTACCGTTGTGAAATGACATTTCTTTCTCTTACTCTTTTACTAGAACTATATAAACCAACTAGGACTTACAGAAGATGTAAAGAAAACATTAGTAAAGAAAAACAAAAGGTTAAACTAAAATTTAATGGTTAAGATAATTATTAGGTGTCAACTAATCATCCATTAAATTTCTTTATTTTTCTTTGGAGATATTTATTATTCCTTAAAGAGAAAAAAATTATATATAATTAGTTATTCAATTCAATGCTCTATTTCTTTTTACGTCATTCAATTAAATGTTATCTGATATGTTAGTTGATATAATTCTATCGATAAAATATTCTGAATCTAGGCTTCGTTATAGCTGATTTGCTTCAGCATTTAGTATGAAATCTATGTGAAGGAATTTCTCTTGATTATATTCAATTAATTACCTTCAATTATCGGTCACTACAATGTTAAGTTCTTTGAACTAGTAGTTACAGGGTAAATATATTATGAGAATTTGATCAATGCATTGGTTATTATCCAGTAATCAATATTAAAAGGCGAGATCACATTTTAACTCAATATGATTTTGTTCACAATAAAATTTACTTGATTCTAACGTAACATTTCTTATGTATAACTATCATCTTTGTATTAATGTAATGTAACAGATAGCATGAATCTTGTATTAGTCCTGATCAAAAGTTATTTTTGTACTTCGATTGCAACAGTTATATGTGGCGCCCATTAAATGTGAGTAAAACTTATGCACAAACAAGTATATTT